CAACTGAATTGAATTTTGTTAAACGAATAAGTTGCCAATTCGTACCTATATAGAGAAATTGCTTTAAAAGCACTAATAAGTTTTATAATAATAAATATGTAACATCTACATATCATCTTTGAATTTCTCATATACAATTTATGTGCAATTACTAAAGTAATATTGTCACACAGATACAGACAATTAATTATTTATATAAATATATGTATGATATAATACATTATTATTTAAACATACAAGAAAAATAATAAAGGTTTATTATTCAAATTTATCAATTAATATTAAAGGTTCGCGTAACAGAATTATATAAAAATTTTTTGATCGCGATTCTTTTAAAGACTCAAATAGTTAAGGTAAAATCACGCAGTATTTAAAGAATCACATAGTATTATAGAACGCAGCATGGTTGAACAAGCACATTAAATGCAGAATTCCCGCGTGGAATGAGAATAACTACTAATGAGATCTTCGCGGTAGATCGCACGCGTCGTCATAAGGAAGGGAACGGAGATGCGCAAAGAGGGAGGGAGTCTTAAAACCGTTAACGATATCCGTCAATCACACTGACGGTTGGTGGCCGATGTGCAAAGAGGCGAAGAAAAAAAAGGAAGGAATTATACCGGCGTAATGCCGGAAAATGCGATCAACCCTGCCGTCAGGCAAATACACGAGCGAGCCTTCCTGGTCGCGACTCGCATGAACGATCGTGAATCAAATCACCGTCTGCTTCTCCGTCACGACGATAAAAGTAATTCCATCCAAACGAAAAAGAACTTTCGCGTTGTGTCCCCACAAACGTATAACTCAATGTCGAATCAGATTCAAAATCTCGATATTCGTGTCAAACGAGACATATATACATTGCATTTTTATTTAATTTTACGATTACAGTAATTAATTAGATAGCGATAAAAATATTATAGTTAACAGTTAATTCGGCAAATTATTTTAAACGCTTAAATTTTAAATAAAATATTTTAAAACTAAAAGTTTTAGAATAGAAAATAAATCGTTCTTTTTCTAATTATGTGAATTAATTCACTGTTAAAATATCAATTAAATAAATGCGCAAATTATTTTTGCATCAAACACGTTGAACTCATGACTAATAACAATTTTAATGTAAAGTTTTAATGTAAAACCCAAACATGCTTAAATAATTTATAATTCAGATTTTTTAGGATAGAACTCTATTTATAATTTTATATGCCATGTATTTTAATACGTGTGTGTGTGTGTACATGTGTGTTTGCGCGCGCACATACATGCATACATACAAGTATATATGTATATGTCTGCAATATGATAAATGTTTATAAAGAATGAAAATAGATCTTTTATTTGTCCATTTCTTTATTCTGTATTTGGTAATAACAAATATTCTTCTACATAACTTTGCAAAGTTTTTGTTGCAAAACAAAAGCTTACAAATTTGTACCTTGAATACATCAAGGTTAATAAATTACGTTGCGTCAATTTGTACGAATTACATAGATAGATTTCACCAACGTAATATATTTCCTTTCTTTCAATACCTTCTCAGATATTCTCAGATAAGAGTATTTACAAATAAGATAAGTAATAATGTGTCTAAATGTAATAATATATGCTTGTTTTCAGCATAAATATACTCTATTCGTTGCGACATTCAACCCAACATTAATGCAACCCTGACATTTATGCAAGAAACTATACATGTAACATGTGAAATGTAAATATATCACAATTATTAATTTATTTTTTACTCAACAATAAAAATTTTAAATAAGATATATATACAAAAGTTTAATAAAGGTATTAAAACATAACATAAAGGTATTAAAACATAAGAAATTCAAAAATAAACTTATCAAAAAAATGTTAAAAACAATAAAAAGTTAAACATAATAAAATTGAACAATAATAAAACTCGATATTGTTTCTTCACGTCATATTCTCTTCAGTTAACTTTGCTATTATCACTAATAGTTTAGTTTAAAATAATAAATTAAATACAACTCTGTATTAACTAACACATCTTTTCAGAAACACAATTAACAATTAGAGAAAATAGCTCAGAAAAATCTCTGTTTTCTTCACAAAACCGTATGCAAATTCGTCGAGAGTATGATACAGTACGTAGAGTAATGATTGCAATACCGTTATCTGGAATATTGATATATCGCGCTGTTCCAGATTCGAAATACCAGTGTTTTAATTATATCGGTATTTTGGCATTTATTAAAAATCTATATACAAATTTTAAATGTTCAAAATAAAACAAATAGAATAAGCAATTATTTCTGATAAAGTTATTTAATGATATACCATATTAAAAGAGCCCTTGTAAAAAAAACTAAACTATAAGAATTTTAAAGAAAATTTCATTGTCATTTTCAACAGTTTTGGTGAAAATAACTTGTTTTATACAGAAAATACTGTTACATATACAGGATGTCTGATAATAAGTGTAACACCCGCCGTGGACATAGGTACAAGGGGTTAAACTGAATAGAAAAGTCCTTTACCATTTTGCAATTTTTGCATAAATAATAAGAATTTAATTAATAAACCTCCGCGTATTAGCGTGCGTCCGCGCAATTCAACGAGAAAAAGTACCTAGCGTTTACGATTGCTATGGCACGTGGCGAGGTATTAGAAGGATTTCAGTTTAACTCCTATATATACTACCTATATATATATACATATATATATCCACGGCGGGTGTTACCTATATTTATATAGTTATACCTATTATCAGACATTCTATATATTGTTACGCCCGCGCTGAATCAACTCTTAGTTCGAGTCAAATAGAGCTGCTTTCGAGTAAACTTTAGATCTAGAAAAGATATCGCTCATATCGCTAAGCGTTCTTCGTGACGACTAGCTGTTGTTTGAAAATGATCATCTTGGATTCGGAGTTGAGCTAGCGGACCGATCGGACGTGTGACATTGTGCTCCTCTGTATTTTATTACAAATGAACGAGTTATTTTCCAATCCGTGTCTAGTTTTTTTCCGCGAGCTCGGGAGTGCACGAGCGCGAACGCGAATGCGAGCAGTGCAGAAACACGCGAGCGAGTCTCGGGTCTCGGGTGCAACAATATACAAGGTGTTTCTTAAGTAAGTACAAAAAATTGAAGAAAATATTTCGTATTTTGAAAACGAAGTTTACGATATATGTTTATTAGATTTATTTCTCCCTAAAATAAGCCACTTCAATTATCCGCTTCAATTTTTTGTACTTACTTAGGAAACACCCTGTATGTATATACATATATGTGTCAAATATACGTATATACATATATATATACACACATCTTTTGCATATAAAACAATTTAAAATAACCAATGCAATTATCTGGAAAGATATAATTTAATGAAAATGTTAAAAATATTCCAATTTTTTATGGAATTATTTTTTTACATATGTTGTCTTTTGTTGCTATGTGTGTATATAAAAGTAAGATGAAGTCATCAAAGAATTGAATATGCAGAACAAGATAGCTTGTATTTAATATTAAAATATAAAATATAAGTTATCACAATATTTCATACTTTCAATTTCTCGATGACGTTATCTTAATACTATTATATTGTACATAATAATAGAATTAATTAATTGTAAAAAAAGAAAAATATATTGTAACAAAATGCAATCATGCATTACAAGTGCAGCAAATAATACAGTCATTTTCTAAATCTCATAGAGTAATTTTGCCGCTAATATATATTAGAGTGATTGCGATAGTCACTCCAAAAGAGAGGGTTGTCACTCTAATTTCAGTAAATGCGGACACTCATAAGGTAGAAGTGAATTTTTCATTCAAATTTTTAGAGCGGCTACTCTATCGGAGTGATACGTCTTCACTCTAAAGCTATAATGAATCACAATCACTCAAAGTGCACAGGCTCAATGTTTACTTTTCATTACACTTGCATTTCACTCGTTTGGAATGATATTTCACTCTTTGACTTTTAGAGAGCATAAATCGATTCTTTCTGTTATTATGTACACTGAAAAAAAAGCTGTTACTTTAATCAAAATGCTATCACAGGGTGCCAAAAATGTTTTTGGCACCCCGTGATAGCATTTTAATTGAAGCAACAGCTTTTTTTCTTAGTGTAAAAGTATTAGGATAAAGTCATCGAAAAATATTATACGAAATATTTTATATTTTATGTCAAAATAAATTATAAAATATCTCGTGAAGTATCCAAAATGTCTCAATACTTTTACATGATAAATAACAATATAACATAAATAATAAAAATTAATTTGTGTAAGAAAAGCCTTCTATATAATTTCACTTGTAAAAGATGATTTCAGATTTCTTTAATTTCTCCAATTGCAAAATAATCGATTCTGTCCTGATACTCTTCTTAAAACTAACGTTTTCTCATTGCATAATTTTGTTTTTAATTTTGCAGTTACGATCTGTAATACAAATCACTTATACAGATTAAATCACAATTGGAATTGTAGTTCTTGTTTCGTTGAAAATGACAGAAATAATTATGTGTGAATATATATTATAATAAAAATATATTTTCTTACTGGCGCTTGTCTTTTTCAAAAATATAATAAATGAAAAAGTAAAACTTTATTTTTTTAATAAATTACATTTTTTACATAATTCGATCCTTCTGAACATTCTGTTCTATTAGAATGAAGTAATAAAAATATTAAAGTAAGATGATGAAAAAGAATTAATAGTTTACAAAATATTTTACTTTATTCTGACTTCATATTTTGAAACAAAAATTTTTTTGTAATCCATTTTTCAATAACTTTAATATTTTTATATTCTATAATAAGATGAATTAAACAATATTAAAAAATTACATTATTGCACTTAAAAAAAGATATAAACTGCAAGATGCAATTACAAATTTTTGTAACATGCATAGCAGTAGATAAAAAATTTTATAATTAATATAATTTTATGTATAAAAATATTTTATAAAAAAGATATAAAAGTTTATTTTATATTAAATACAAAAAAGAAGCTACAAAAAATATGGAAAAATTTTATAAACTATAAATGTTTTACAATTCTATCTTAATATTTTTTATATACAAATAATTAAGACTTGATTTATTTACTCTATCTAATAGATTTATTTATATTTATTATTCTAACAATTGCTATATAAGAAGAATGTATGATTTATTTACAAAAGAGATGCAATCACACTTTTAGATTATTGCACTTGTGAAATAAATCTTGTTACACATCATTGAATTTCCTTCTTTTGTTCAACAAAACAAAAACTGCAACCTGTCTCAATTAAACACGCGCATATACGCGTGAGTTATTTTGTATATTATATTATTATATTATACATAGTCTTGCCATAAATCTGTTATTAATTTTCTAAGCAACAGACAGTCGGTTAAACTTTAACACACAAAACCGTGACATTATTAGTTATAGTTAACTATGACAACATAATAGAACAGCTGACAGCTTTGGTCGTCATAGTTCATATTCACAATGGAATAAAAACTGTATTGCTGCTATAGCATTATTTGAAGTGGAAAAGAGTATTCGTGATATTTTTAATAAATTTACAACATTAAATATAACAGTAGTTGTGTTTCACGCAATTAAAAAGTTCAAAGAAACAGGTCATATAATAAAAAGAAAAGTGATGTGTAATCAGTAAAAACAGAAAATGTTATTCAAGCAATGCGTCAACGCATACGACGTAATTCACTGCATAAACAAACAGTCGTAATAAGAGAAGTAAACATTCCAGCATTATTAATCGTCCAATAAGAAGAGTACAAAAAGTAATTATTTGCTAACAGATAAACTAGAACAAACCCGAAAAAAATCGAGAAAACTCTATATGTATGCGGAAGTGGTTCTTATTTTTATTAAAACTAAATTTTACTTTTCGATAATTCTGATTTAAATTTTGTTAATTATAAACTGTAGGACATGTTAGAAGAAAACACAAGCTTAGAATTCTTCAAGTGAGGCATAATTAAAGGAGCAAAATTTTTCTAGAAATTATACGTACAGCGATTGACGAAAGTATCTACATTTATGTTATAAAGATATAAAGGCGAGCACTTTTAATAACTTTCATACAGTTCTAAAGCTCCTTTTTGTACTTTAAAAGATATATTTACATTAATTAAAATATATTCGTATTATAGTCGTATTATATGTTCAAAGCACAGAAACAGAATTTAAGGCTGGACTGTATAATATATGCATAAATGGATTAAGCTAATTAATTTTATATTCTTTTCTTAATATGCAATAAATTAAATATGTGGTTTAATTAATGTATTTTATATAACGTTTACCCTTATGATATGTAACCTAATCTCTTTATACAAAATGCCAAATTGATATGCCGTATTATGTAAAATAAATATCGAAATGCTGGTATTGTTATATCGGTCCGGTATTGCAATCACCGTAATACAGAGTTTTCAATGTTGCGAGAAAAACACAAGAATTATCACGAGAATAAAATCGCAATAAAAGATGCTTACATTTTTTTTTATGCGTCTGATGATTTTTGCAAAGAAATTATCGTTGTTACCCAGACTACGAATGATTCACACTGTCTCTTTTGACCGTTTGCAAAAGTGACTAGTGTCGCGCTCGGTTCCTCTCAAGAAGAACGGAGAACGTAACGCGGAAAAGCGAATGGCACCCCGGCACCCCGTGGCTGTTTGACTTAATTTTACGAGGGGTCGCTAGGAACGACAAGGGCAGCATCGGAAGGGTGGAATGCGCGCGGTTGCGACAGCGGTGGCGGTTTAGCAGATAAAAATTATTCGTTTAAAGTCGAGAGGGAAGTGCTATAAAAGTGCAGTTAAGTTTTCCAGAGGAGCGCTCGTAGATTCTTCTCCTGCGTTTTCTCGCACGATAATAACTATAATTGAGTAAATAATCATATCTTTAGGCACTGAAATTTCAAGAAATTAAAGCGCTGACTTTTATACTGTATGTACACATATAATTTCGAGCTTCTCCTCTGAAGAAATTTCACTTTATTTAATCGCAAGAGACGCAATGTTGCAAAATATTTCAATGAACGCAATGTTTACACACGGATTTAAATCCTGTTAATAAGCTATGTCTCGATACTGTTTTTCGTACAGTTAACAATTTGATTGATTTCAAGTGAAAAACCGTCGCAAAAAAACATTTTTACCTAAAAATGTAGGTAAAAAATGTGTTATTAGTACCATCAAAATACATGATATACAGTACTATCTAAAAAAAGCGTTCAATTATAAAAATATTGATGGTATCGTAAATAAAATAATCAAATGTCGCAAGCCCTAACTTTTTTACATACACCAAAAAAACGAATGTAAAGAACATACCAGATTTTTGTCTCGCGAATTGAAAGAAATCTAAGAAGAGAGGAGTTAAACGCTAATGAAAAACCGAATGCTGCCTCTCATATCACTGGAGATCTTATTTTACTCAAAAAAGAAATATATATGTACGTGTATAATATACGTGTATAATATACGTGTGTGCGTGCGTGCGTGTGTGTGTGTGTGTGTGTGTGTGTGTGTGTGTTGTGTGTGTGTGTGTGAGCAAAAAAACACCTGATATTTATAGTCCAGCTGATCGGCCGCTCCACTCGCAGATCGGATCTCACTAAATCACCAGTCGGTATACGCCTAGGAAGGAACTAGCCGCTTCTCCCCCACAGCCCATGGGCGGCCATAAGGTTCCGATGTACACTGACGCGAATGACGAAGGATGGAGGAAGAAATCGATGAAAAGAAAAAGTTGAAGTCCTATACGGCCTAATCTTGGCACGCCTTCCGAACGATGTGTCATATCTGAAAAACTATCCACGAGATAAAGATCCATATACACGTCGCATCGTATGGCATAATAATAATTAACATTTATCAAAATGCACAATATGAAACTTGTATTGTTCAGGAGGATAAAAGAACTTGCGGTTTTGCATAAATACAAGCAGAATATTCAATGTTAATATTACTTTTGTTATTATAATATTATATTAAAAATGTAGTATTTTTCATATTGTTTTATTGTTGCGTCGCCCTGCTCGCTTGTGTTCATTCTTTCGAGAGCGTTAGCGGCGAGTGCGGGAGCACTGATTTGGGTGCGCGAGTGCCGATATATATACAAGATGCGTCTCTTCGCGAGCAGTGCGACGTAAAGCAGGGTCCACATTATCGAGCCAAACCGCGAACCGAGTCCCGAACCGAGCCTCGAGCCAGAACTTGCAGACGAACCTCAAATCGAACTCCATCGCGAACCGCGAACATGAGTTAAAATTTTTTGAAGTCAAATCTCGTATTGAAATTTATAATAAAATTTATATAAATTCTTAATACATGTATGCAAAATGCATATTTATATTTACAATCGTATTTTTTAACATTGCAATATATATATTATAAATTTATTGCGTATTTATCACAGGTTTAGAGTATGTTTATGCAATATTAATTCTAAATTTTGTTTTATGGTTTGAAAAGGAATTAAGTTTTGAATACAGAAAAATAATAAAAGCACATATACATATATTCACTCACCTTTTCCTGTTTCCATACTTTTTTTATTTTTGCTTTTTCTTTTTGCAGAGATGCCAATAATGTCGTCATCTTTTTTTTGCACATGTCACTATCACATTCGAGTTCTTTACTTATTTCTTCTTATAAAAAAAGTATGAGAACAGGAAAAGACGACTAAATATGTGTATACATATGCGTGCTTTTATTATTTTCTTGTATTCAAAGCTTAATTCCTTTTCAAACCATAAAACTATATTTAGTGTGGTACCAACTATATTTATTAGATTAAACGAACATACTCTAAATCTATGATAAATACGCAATAAATTTATAATATATATTGCAACGTTAAAAATACGATTGTAAATATAAATATGCATTTTTTTAATTGTTATAATGTTCGGGATTTTTAGCGTCCCGTATATAATAATCTTTTCTGCTCATAATCACTAATTAATTTTAAACATTTTTTATCAGACCATTCCATTTTGTCTACCAGTAGTCGTGTAGACTGCACATACGTGGATAGAATCAAATACAGCGACTGGGCAATTACTCACGTTTTCTTTCATCGTTCATTTTTTGTTTTTTGTCATTATTTGTCTAGCTCGAAGCTTAACTACCAGTCTACCACCCGACAAAGCGTATAATCTGATCATAAAAAGCATCTTTTGATGTTTCGTCAGAATACCGACTTTTGGTGGGACACTGCGAGCCAAACCTCGTATCATCAAAATCCTTGCAGATTCGTGGAGTGAGTACGCGATGGTTCGCACTGATGTTCGATTCGAGGTTCGCGAGCCTCGCGCGAGTCCGTCGGCTCGACAATGTGGACGCATGATCGGCTCGCAACGAAGTTCGGCTCGCGGTTCGGCTCGATAATGTGGACGCATGATCGGTTCGCGGCGAAGTTCGGCTCGCGGTTTTGCTCGATAATGTGGACCCTCCTTAACAATATCATTAAACTCAACTCTCCCAGTCTGATCTATAAAAAACAATTCATAGTAATATAAGTACCGGTCAAAAGTATAATATTGCATCGCTTAATGGAAAGGGAAGTCGTTACTTTAATAAAGAAAGACGTACATAAATGTTATAAAATTTTATTTTAGTACTGTTATTTTACGCTTTGATAGAAATACTTTGAGAAAAAAAACAAAGATTTTAATAATTTAATTGCGTTGTTTCATATTATCGTCGACGATTATTATAGTTTGTATTAAATTTTTAATTAAATATTACATAAAATACAGTCACGCACAAATAACTGTGTTTGACTCTTATAGACTACTTTTTCTTTTAAATTGTTAATTTTAATTTAGAGTTTAGCTAATTAATCATTTATTTGTTTATCACAAATATATTGCACTTTATAATAGAAGTTTTTAATTTACTACAATATTCCACTTTGCACTTTACCAACTTTGCATACTCTCGTCTCTGCCATTATATCCGCACAATATTGTAGTTAGAGCGTGTATTACTAAATACAACATAATATTTATGCCATAAAGAAATGTTCAAAAAAGATCGAGAAATGGCGTGTAAATTTTTGTTAGGATATAAATACTGAAACTGATACTGATACTGATACTGATACTGATACTGATACTGATAGTTAACTTGCCTGACAATCAAATAGTATCTTTATTTGTTATTATTCAATTATTGTAGTCAAAAAATCATATTAATAAATATTTGCTCATTGAAAAAATAAATTTTTTTTTTAATTCGTTCGATCTTTAATTGGGGTGATATTTTTTGCAATAAATTCCTTATAGTGATTTAAGAAGAATGCTTATTAGTATAATCAAAAGTTAAATCAACTACCTATCAATTAAAGTATTTAGATTTATTGTTCCAACAAAAAATTGTGTTTTAAAACCGACAAATAATAATCAACGCGCAATTTACTGAGTTGAAAAAAGTAGACAAAAATATTATTAATAACTATAACTTATTAATATTAATAACTCTTTTTTTGCTTCCTCATAGAGGAAGCTTTGTTTTCGTAAAAAAAAAAAAAATTTTTTGTTTTTCTGAATGTGTTCAGAACGTCGAAAAATTGCAATTTTAAAAAATGTCTGTATGTATGTGTGTGTGTGTGTGTGTGTGTGTGTGTGTGTGTGTGTGTGTGTGT